GCCAGCAAAATCTTATTTAGGCCGGCATAAAGTGCATTACAATAATCTAAACGAGTTGAAACAAAGGCATGAATTACACGCTCAAAGTTTAAAAAGGATAAAACCGGTTTAATTTTGGACAGGAGCCTCAAGTGATCAAAACTGGATTTAACCACAGAGTTTATTTGTTTATCTAATTTAAAAGCTGTCGATTTTGACACCCAGATTTGTGACCATGGGTTTTGCAAACTGTTGCAGGGAACCCAGGTCAATGGAAGGGACATCACCATTTGGTCCAAACACAATTACCTCCGTTTTGCTCTCATTTATATTTAAAAAGTTTAGCGCCATCCAGGCCTTTATGTCATTAAGACAGTCAACCAGGGGCATCAGAGAGCTAGTGTTTTTTCTTAGGGGTAGATATAATTGGGAGTCCGTCCGCATAAAGGTGGTAGGAGACGCCATATTTTCTAAAAAATCAGTCCAAGGGGGGAGAAGGTATAAGGAAAATAAAATAGGCCCCCAAAATAGAACCTTGGGGAACTCCACAGGATAAGGGGGCAGAAGAGGATGTAAAGTCACCAAGCGTAACAGAGAAAGATCTCTTGGACAGATAGGACCTTAACCACTCTAAGGCAGTGCCCCTGATACCCACACTGTGCTCTAGACGAGAGATAAGGATGGAGTGGTCAATCATATCAAAGGCAGCTGTGAGGTCTAAGAGCATAAGGATGGCAGAGTCACCAGGGTCTGTAGTGACCAGGAGGTCATTGAATACTCTTAGAAGGGCAGACTCAGTACTGTGAAGCGCTTTAAAACCGGATTGAAAAATATCGAAAATATTGTGTGCATGTATAAAAGACTGCAGCTGTAAGAGTACGGTTTTCTCCAATATCTTTGAAATAAAAGGAAGCTTCGAGATGGGTCTGTAATTTGAGAAGACAGAAGTGTCCAGATTAGTTTTCTTTATCAGGGGTATTTCAAACAGCTTGTTTGAAATAAACTGGCACAGAACCGGACTCTAGGCTGCTATTTATAATGTTATGGACATTAGGTCCAATAGTGTCCCATACCTCTTTAAAAAGTCGAGGAGGGACTGGGTCTGTGGGACAAGATGAGGGTTTTAATTTAGCAACAATGTCACTGAGAGATGACAACGACACAGGTCCAAACTGCTGGAAGACAGCAGTGCATGTGAAGTCAATGGAGGGGTCAAAAGAGGGTGGTGAGATACTGGCTCTAATAGTGGAGATCTTGTCTATAAAATAGCAGAGGAATTTTTCACACATCTCAGTTGAAGCATCAATACAAGTGGATAAAGGAGAGTTTAACATAGCATCGATTATTTTAAAGAGAACACGAGGTTTGTTTAAATTACTAGAAATAATATCAGAAAAGTAACTAATCTTTTCAGCTTTTACAGTGCTCTGATACTTTCTCCAACTCTCTTTCAAAATGTCACGAGTTACATGAAGCTTGTCCTTCTTCCACCTGCGTTCAGCCTGCCGGCACTCACGCCTGGCAGCACGAGTGACGTCATTGAGCCAGGGTTCAGATTTAACTTTGGGGCGCATGAGTTTCAGGGGAGCAACAATGTCAAGAGCTCCAGTGCAGGAAGAGAGAAAGGCTGAGGTTAATAGCTCAGTGTCCATGGAGTCAGCGGACATATTATCAGACTGTGTTAATTTAACAAAGGCAGGAGAGAAACTAGCAGCAGTGGAAGGTTTCATCATACGACCGTGACGGACAGGAGCGCATGATTTAAGACTATGACAGGGCAGAATAAAATCAAATAGCACAGGCAGGTGATCCGATAAAGCTGCCTCACACACATTGACATTTGAAATGGGCAGACCATGGGATAAGACAAGGTCTAATGTGTGCCCATGCTCTTGCGTGGGGCCAGAGATATGTTGTATGAAGTCAAAAGCATATAAAACATCAAGAAAGTCTTTAGCTAGTGGTTTCGAGATACAACAGACATGCACATTAAAATCCCCGACAATTAAAACGCTGTCATAGTTTGTCACGATACCGGCCAATAGTTCAGAGAACTCCTTTATAAAGTATTTGTTGTACTTGGGCGGTCGGTAGACCACCGCACACAGTACAGGATTAATCCGTCCCAGCTCAAACAGGCTCAGTTCAAAGGAGGAGAATGAGATAGACGGCGTGGGTTTGCAGTATAAACTGCTCCTAAAGACAGTCGCTATACCTCCTCCACGACCCGTGGAGAATTAATGAAACTGCACTCCGGAGGCAATAGCTCTGTAAAAGCAGCAGACTCACCCGCAGATATCCAGGTTTCCATTATAAAAAGCACATCCACAGCATGTGACGTGAAGAAGTCCTGGATGATGAAAGTTTTGTTTGCGATCGATCTCGCGTTTATCAGCGAGCCTTTAGTTGGAACCGGGGCAACAGTCGCGTGAGTTTCACGACCCAGCGACCGAAGGTTGCGGCGGTTCACTACAGCGGGGGGGAGAGGCGAGACCACTGGGGGCGCAGGATATGCAGATCTTGAGTCGGGTCAGCGACAGGTACCAGCCAGGTGCCGACCATGGCAAGGGGGCGTCGGGAGGCCAGGCGGCGAAAACAAGGTCCATATTCCGGGGGAAAAGGGTGCTGAGCCAGCTCAGGAGACCACGCTAGCCACTCTTTCACCCTAACCAGCCGGCCACTGCGTGTGCCTCGGCGTCTGCGTCTTCGGGGTAACGAGGGCCCGGCCCGCAGTAGGTGTGCAGGTACATCCGATAGAAGGGGGGGGGGGGGGAGGGGGGGTGTGTCCACCCTGGCCAAACTTCGCAAAAAAGCCCACATTTTCATCGATCTTAAGCAGCTCGTGTCGGTTGTATACTAACAGAGAGTCTATGGTCCTTGTCACTGAGCAAAACAGACACAGAACAAACACTAGTACTAAAACAGAGATGCTTGGACGGCCTGCCAGACAACCCGGCGCCATCTTGGAAATCAGTAGGCTATATGATCAAGCTACGATCAAGTAATGAGTAAATAACAAATATTTTATGAATGTGCTTTCCTCCCGACATAACGGTACGTCCACACGGTTCGTAAGCTTGCCGGTGGGCGTGTCTGGCGCACGACTAACAACCAATCACATTCATCTCCCGCCCCGGACACACAAGCACGCGGTTTGATTGGCTAGAGCTTGTACTGGCATATGATTTGATTGGCTGGCGCTTCCGTCGCCGCTTGAAAAGTTGAACTTTTCTCAACTTTCGAAGCGAGCAACGGAGGCAAAGCGACGCGACGGGAACCACAATGCAGTTCGACAAAGCTTGACGTCACCCCATTCAAAGTAAATGGGAAGGGTCTCAGTTGAAGCACGCAACGGAACCTTGTGGACGTTATGTAAGGCTTAAATGTCCTAATTTATTCTCATCGCATTAGGTCTCAATAACAAACCTAAACCACATTGACTGCAGTGATTCATTAGAAACTACATGTGTGTGTAATTGATGCAGTTTACATACATTTGTCACAAGTTATTGATCCACTGGCAGATTGTTGATTGATCTCCAATGGTTTAAATGCACAGGCACACCTTAATGCTGCATAATATGTACTATTTGCTAAAAATAATTGAAGGTTATTGATAATCAGACCCAGGACAAAATGTCCCATATGACCCCTGATCTATGACCTTTCTCCAAAAGCATTGACCCTTAAAACCTCAGCTTGGCCTTTGTTCTGCCTACACATGAATATGGATCTCTCAGAGTTCGAGAAGTCAGGACTAGCAAAAGGTATAACATTTATTCTGGTCATTTTTATTTCAGGACATCCAGGATATGGAATGCTGATGGTGCATCTGTATAATAACAGTTCACATTTAAAAACAGGAATGGCCTTTGATTTTCTGCAAGGCCTTAGATAGAGCAGATTGAGCTCAGTGCTCAAAACAAGCTTTGGAAAAAAGACAACTGCCGAAGAGAAGCTTTGAAAGACAAAAATGTGAGACTACAGTTCCAATGGTTCCAAATTACACCACAAAAGAGGGTCACTTGAGCACGTCATCTAATATTTACTTCAATTCAACCCATGGTTCTTTGGCCTGGACAACGAATCAATGTTCCAGACTGAACGCCGTCAACAACAACAACAACTTTGAACCAACTGCGATGTGTTACAGCTCAATGACAACCTACTCCTAGGGTTTTATGTCTTCGTAACTAAGAAAGTCACTTTGATATGTTCTGTAAATGCCACACCTACTTTATTTTACAGTTTTTTCTTCAGCACTTTAATCAGCGGCTACATCCTTCACTGATCCTGATCATGGCTCCTTTGTGGCCAATGTGTCCTTGCGTCTCTTTGCCACATACACACGCAACAAAAACAGTGCACAGCCATTTTCTGACAGCCGCAATCTCCCTTCACACAGCTGAGAGGAAAGATGAGCTGCCAACTACTCCTGGGGCAGAAGGGGAAAAACACACACACACACACACCACACACACACACACACACACACACACACACACACACACACACACACACACACACACACACACACACACACACACACACACACACACACACACACACACACACACACACACACACACCACACACACACACACACACACACACCACACACACACACACACACACACACACACACAGCTGAGCACATATAACAAGGATTCAGTAACCTCTGTCACAACTGGCTGACTTGACCGCTTACGGATATTCCCAGTTCACTTTCAGTCGGGGAGCTTCAACCAAAACTACTGGGGCCTGACAGGAAAACTCATCTTGGCTTTGAGAGCATTGAATACAGAGTCCTACCAGCACAAACAAGGAAAGAAAACCCACAAAGGGAACTAGTTGTTGCTTTCTCTAGAATTCACTGCACAGTCGAGTACATCTGGTAAATGTTATGCCAACATACAGTATGCATGTCTCGCTTACCCTTATTCCACAGCGACACAGCATCTGTGTTCAGCTGCTGACCTCTGACCTCTCCCCGCTCAGCCCCGACCCCCGCAGTGACTCACCAATCTCGCAGCTCTCTCCAGAGAAGCCCTGAGGACAGTAGCAGCTATAGCCATCCCCCTCCTGCAGGCAGCTCCCTCCATGGAGGCACGGGTTGGTCTGGCATGGGTTATTCTCCACTGTAAAGACAGACAGAGTGGGACAAATGTGAATTTATAATTGATTTCGTACAGGGAAAGAGCATTACCAAAGTGCCTCAAATGTTGACAAACTATGACAGGCAGTGAGCCAGCATTATGCTCTTCAATATCCTGACTGAGCTCATCCTCGAACAGAAAAAGAGTAGAGTGGGCAGACATTACGTAGAGACACGTCCGGAACTCCATGACTTTCTAAAAGGTGACATATTGGATGTTTTTACGTATGTTGTGCCAGTTTATCATGACGGATGCTCGCCAGGTGAAGGACAGGGTGCTGACTCGACAACCTCCAGCCTCTCATCCCAGGTCCCCCGATGAGCCAAGACCCTCATAAACTAGCTAGTCATCACCCAGCCGTGCATACTGGCATAGGCATCTATTTTTATGGCACATAACAGCGTTGCAAAAGAGGTAATAAACAGATTTTATGTTGCTGGGCTATAACTCTATGTCTTGGTGGGAAACATTTTGCAGGATGAAGGTGGAGATTGAGGAGATTAAGTCGTAATTATTGCTCTTATATTTTAGGATGGGATGGAGGGAGGAAGAGAATTTGACAAGGACGGTTAGACCGCAGAGCGGACGTCAGGAATTTCTATTCTGTGAGCAAAAAGGACTGTAGGGAACTGGCTAGATTAAGTGTCCTTTTATTATCCATCCTGATAGGATTGCAGCCCCTGACACAATGTGCCAGGCCATCTAATACACTGCATCTTCTCCATAATACACCCAGACTCACGTAATGATGTATGAGCAGAGGGATGCTTTGCAGAACACAGAGTGCAGTTCCCCTGAAAGTCTGGGAACATTTCTACTTGTACATTGTTTATGCATGTGTGTACATTTGCAATCATATGTGTGTACAATTGTGGATGTCTGTGTGACCCTGACTCATTGCAAACGCTGGAGAGAAATACATTGACGTGGGTGTGTGCTCAATTTCCTGTGAAACGGAGTGATAGACTCCCCACCGCTGCAGAGAGGCAGCTGGTGATATACAGGGCTGGGGAGATGGAAAGGCTGCCTTTGAAATGACATACTGTAAAAGGGATTCGCTGAATGAGAAAAGTCATTAGAGACAGGCTCTTTTTCTAAAATCAACAGCAGAAAGGAGAAAGAAAAACACCCCGTGTGTGATTTGAGAAACATCATAACTTAAAGGGTAATCATGGAGATGGTAAAAAAAGTGCTGAGCAGTGAATGACACACAAGATATGTTCAATGTATCTGCCTGGTTGGGTTTCAAATGGGAAGGTAATGGAGGGGGGAAATGGAGAAAATAGGTGAAGGAAAGAAGCTGCTTGAGTCATTATCCATCCATCCATCTATCAATCCGTCCATCCATCAAGAGAGTAATTTATCATTTCAATATCTAACATTTAAAAGTAGTTTGCCCAACACTGTAAACAACGATAAATCCAAATGTTAATCTGTTTCCAGCAGTGTAGAAAATATAAAAAAAAGACTAATATCGTTGCTTCAGATTGCTAGCTTTCATGCTTAAATGATTAGTTTGCTGTTGCTACATGTTAACAACCCAACAATGTGCCATATTCAGTCCATGCATCAAGCAGGCAGGATGAAAGCATGTCACCGACAGCTCCTTCGGTGTGTTTTCATGAGGGAAAATAGGGGAATGTGGGAGTTTATGAGCGTGAACCTGAATCTACTTTACTCTGCTGCTGACAACAGCAACTGTTCAGTTAAGTGATGTGATATGAAAACCTATTGTGAGTCAGAGTTGGCCTACGCTCACTCTCGATGACATATTTCAAAATGTCAAAATGCAACCATTTTGTAAAATAAGCTTTTCAAGGTGGCTTCACGTTTACACAGAAATGGCTCACAGTACCTTCAATTTCATGCGATCGCTTTCTCTAATCCACTGTGAAATGTAATGTCTTTGTGACACAAACTCGCAAAATTGCCATCATCAGGTGACATTTAATGGCATTTAAATAGTATATGATTGTGTTTGTGTGTGGCATTTAATACATTATAAGCCTAAAATACAGAATATCATTCTAGAAATTAGGCATGAGTATATTTAATGCAAGCAATGATGTAGGAAAAGGGGGAACTAGATAAAAGGTTTAACATTACTGCTGTTTCTAAACCAGAAATAGACTACATTTTGATTATTCATAATTAATTGTCTGAGTTTTAAGTATTTTCTTAAACAATAGATTTAAAACTATGACATATTTTACTCAAAAAAAGTGGCCCTGAAAGTAAAATAAGTCTGAAGTATTCATCCTCTGGGGATAGAACATGTTAGGGCCATCCATCAGGTGGACATTAATGTTGAGATAATATTCGCACACTAAGTCTGACATGTGGGTATCTCTGCTTGCAGTTTCGGTTTTACATTTCAGCTCTGTCACAGCACAGGTGGATATGTATCTGCTGCAGTGATGCACACAGTGTGACTGACAGCTGAGGGCGGGTCATCAAGTCGCCTTAGTGAGGGGGGCTTCAGCAGCGAAAAGGCCAAACTTCTTAAGACCACTGCGAGTCAGTCACACCACAGAGGGTAATACTGCAGCTAGGGCTTAATGCTTATAGTTTGTCGACGTGAAAAATGAGAGTGACATATCTTAAAACATAATCAATAAGCTCCTTAGGATTTAAGTGGATGGCATCACCATCTGATAGGACCATTAGAGCATAGCTAGTGTGTGACAACTGTGTTTACTTGTGTGTGGGCATGCATGTGTTTAACGCCATCTAATCCTTTAGGTCTATTTCTATTGGTCCACTTCCTTAACAACATAAACAATTTATTTATATAAGTTAAACAGTTCCAGTAAATTGCCCTACTAAAGAGATGAAAAGGACTTTTCCTCCAGTAGAATTTGCTAGCGCTGATAAATTGTGGCTGTGCTGTCTGTGGTTATACAGACTGAGAGTGGCGCTGCAGCAGAATAGCACATTGATCCACTCTGCAGACAATTAGTTACGACTTATTACACACAAATGAGACTGTGTTCTTCACCATCTGCCCACAAACATGAGCCTGCAATCTTAGTGGTGTCATCACATGTACAGTAGACAGAAACGTAATGCATGAATGGATCAACACACGCTCGAATCAGCCCTGAACATGCAGCGCTTTAGTGTTTAAATATTCCCGTCAGGGCATTAGATGACATTTTGCGTTTTCATAATTAGGAGGGTGCGTGTGTGTGCAAAGATGTGAAACAAAAAATGAATATGCAAGTGAAGAACAGATAAAAAATGCGACAGAGAGGAGGGAGGAAGAACAGAGAGACCCTGGTATTAGGCAGGGAGACACATTTAAAATGTAGTATAGAGTAGCACAAGTATAAGCGAGAGAAAAGGGAGGGACAGAAAGTCACAGAGGGGGCTATCATACATTTCCTCCTCTCTTAATGCATGCTGCTAGCTTATGATTAATTACACACTGGTCTTAAAATAGGTCTCCTCTTCTATGCAGACTGTGTATCTTTCTTTTTCTGCGAGAAAGACAGAAATGAAAAGAGAAAGAGACGAAGGAGGGAAGAACAGTCTCTGTAGCACTACAGTTTATTATAGACACAAAAGAGAGATATATTAGGTCTTACAATAGTTCAGCTGTCAGTTCCTTTGCAGGCATATCTATCAAATAGAATAGATCATATAAGGTATTTTCCCCTGACATTGAACAGATACCACAACGTCTCTTCAATCCTGTGCACAATTTCTTAAAATATGTTCCTACTAAGCGGGAGAAGGATGGATGGATGTTCCTACGTGTGACATTTCACTGCTCCATGGGATCATCTGAAGTTTTCCGAAGCCTCCTTCCTAAGAGATTATCTTAGCCTTTTGCCACATTTGGGAAGATACTCCCTGATGTCAACTCATACATGCACCCAGGATTTAGAACGGGCAATGAAAGAGGATTGGGGATAAGGAAAATGTTACGAATCCCATGAAGTACCAAGCTGAGTGGTTAGCAAATTCAACATAATGGAAGCTTGCAGAAAAGGTTATGCTGACAGAAACACTGAACTCTGCACAGATAAACACACACACAATTGGAGCAAAACTGCACTCGCACACACTTGCATTTACTGTATATACACCGCCGTGATGCTGTGCTTGGACTCACTGAACCTTGTAATAGCTTTGCTGAGAAAGAGATCATGCAATGGCCTGTTTAAGTGTTCCCCTCCATGAGCGTGATAAGACTTCACCTGCGGCCAGAGCTGCCCCGCTAAAATGTTTCCCTCTAAGGTGCTGAGGCACACAGCACAGTTAGAGCCATGTGGATAGCTGTACTAAACTGCAAAGCATGGACTTAATACAGTCCCTGTCATCATTACTTTGACGTAGTGTGAAATATTCATATTGTCACTTGCATGATGACCGCAATGAACATGTGTTTTATGCGTTGAGCGTTACAGTGCCATACAAGGCATACATAATACATCAGTGTAAGTGGCTCTGTCAATGCTGAATGTCACCTATGCCTGGTCCAACTATGGAGGTAAGCCTAAATTAATAATTTTCTGCAGACAGTTCAAAATTATGCATACTCATTATTCATCGTTTTGATGGTGACTTGCAAAAGCACATACAGAACACAGCGACATTGCTACAGCAGGGTAGCAGATAGTATTCATGCAAACAGGAAATGATGGCGAGTGTACCAGAGATGTTACGGTAATGTGGGACTGGGTGATTAAAGAAATTATGATACAAGTACAACCAGTACCAATACCCATAAAGTGATACTGCAAAACAATAGGGTATTATTTTAGATTTGATATCTGTCATGTCACTACTATGCAATGAAGTCTTTACTTCCAACTCCATGCAATAGACAGCACTCAACTAAACCACACAACAGCCTGTATTGGTTATAGCTGCTGTGGTTGCGGGTCGATCATGTGACTCATTAAATAGAATAACACTTGAGGTGATGTTTCAGAATGTTTGACAACCCAAGATTTCCCGTTTAGCCCCTATCCTGACAATACAAAATGGCTAATGTTGGTGTTGAACATGTGGTCTTAAAGACAACTACGGTTCTATTAGTCCAAGAGGTTGCATAGTGTTTTGAAAGTAAAACCCTTTTTTCCGATCTGGGTACAAATCGGATCAAGTGCAGGTATCTTTTTACTGGAGTAGTTTTGATACTCCTTGGTTCTGGG